ACGACTGATCCGTGTAAAGGAAAGAATGAATGGGGCCATGTATCGTGAGATTTTGAGTGACAAGCTCCTTCCATCAGCAAGGGCATTGAAGATGAAACGTGGCTGGGTCTTTCAGCATGACAATGATCCCAAACACACCGCCCGGGCAACGAAGGAGTGGCTTCGTAAGAAGCATTTCAAGGTCCTGGAGTGGCCTAGCCAGTCTCCAGATCTCAACCCCATAGAAAAATCTTTGGAGGGAGTTGAAAGTCTGTGTTGCCCAGCGACAGCCTCAAAACATCACTGCTCTAGAGGAGATCTGCATGGAGGAATGGGCCAAAATACCAGCAACAGTGTGTGAAAACCTTGTGAAGACTTACAGAAAACGTTTGACCTCTGTCATTGCCAACAAAGGGTATATAACAAAGTATTGAGATGAACTTTTGTTATTGACCAAATACTTATTTTCCACCATAATTTACAAATAAATTCTTTAAAAATCAGACAATGTTATTTTCTGGATTTTTTTTTCTCATTTTGTCTCTCATAGTTGAGGTATACCTAGGATGAAAATTACAGGCCTCTCTCATCTTTTTAAGTGGGAGAACTTGCACAATTAGTGGCTGACTAAATACTTTTTTGCCCCACTGTATGTGTCAGAATGCTCCTATGATATATGTCTTGTAAAAAAAATGGGTCTAATATTTGATTTGGTGACTACATGGAGGAGGAATCGCTCTGTAATTTGCGTCATTGTTAATTTCCCCCATTTAAGTGAAATCAGGACCTGACGCTGGAAACACACATGACACAAATACAGGAAATTGACTCCCGTCTCTTTTCCAAACCTGTTCAAGTGACTGAAAGGCACACTGTGGGGACCCTCACAGTGGGCAGTATTATGGCAAAAACACACTGTATGTTGCTGTGTGTGTACATACCATCTCTCCAGATGGAAGTTGGCCAGTTTCTCTGGGTTTGTTGGCGGGAACATGGTGGGGCGGATCTGCGTTTGACGACTGACGGGAACCTCGGACCAATCAGAGAACCACTGGCCCTCCTTGGTCATCAGCTACACACACAACAATAGGTTATAAGTGTGTGAGCCAAACAAAGCTATCAGAAATCAATATACAAATTAGGTCCGACTTTGATGTTTCTTTATGGTTTGATTTGTTTTAGTGTTTTTATTTCTTAAACTAAATGTTCCAATACCTTCCAGGAATTGACCCCAGGCATCGACTTCAGCCCCGGCAGATCAGCTGATCCGTCGACCAGCTCCAACGTTCCTGGCAACGATGACAGGAAAGACATTACGAATTGGCAGAAAAGGGCTGGATTTATATCTAAATATAACAAGTCATACAATATATAACAGGTACATTCGGCAGATCACAAGTGAATTAAATTGTGGCTTTGGCTCGACAGCGTTTGACCTTTTGTGCTACTGCTGCGCTTTTTTATGTTCTCTGGTCTCAAAGAGAAATTATACAGTGTTAAGGGCTGCTGGAATAAAATGAACCCTTTCTTTTACAGCAGAGTATCATTAACGTTTTCTGTGTGTGCATTCAGACATGTGCTAACGCAATATTTCTTGATCCCGAAAATAGAATCGCGCCCGAAGGATAATTTATTTTTAGTAACATTCAGAGGATTATCAAATGGATTTGATATTTATGGACCTGGGGTCTAATTAAATATTCTCTATACCATTTAAATGAATTTTGTTTTCGTATTTCCTTACACGTATATATGAGGTACAAGGAATCTGATATACACAGCTTCCAAATCCACAGATATAAACATTTTCTCGTGTTTTCAAATGTGGAGGTTAATCTTGGCCTTGTGATTATAGGCTGAAAATTGTTTAATTTTTGGACATTTTGTCCTTTAGGTATTCTAACCTTTTCTAACTTTAATTAATTACAAAAATGGTTGGGACATGAATTACAAGTACTGATAATTAAAACATCAAACTACAGCTATGACACAGACTAGGCTGGTTAACATCATAGTTGACTTTAAAACAAAGACCATTTTTTTTAAACTGATATCCACAGTGGATGAAATCCTTTTAGCCAGCGTAATAATGGAAAAAATAACTTTGATTTGAATAAAAAGTCTGAAATGTATTGCTTGAGTGCTTTTGAGTGTTTACTACCTTCGCTTTTCTCCAGCTACGACACAAACTAAGCTGGTCAACATCATAGGTGACTTTAAACAAACATTTTTAAACCGATATCCACAGTGGATGAACTCCTTATTAATGTGGACCTGTGTTGCAAACTTTGTTCATATCTTAACTTGCTGTGAGAACCAGCCCAGACTTGTTGACTTACTTCAAAACTAGAAAACTAACTTTGATTTGAATAAAAAGTGTTGCTTAAATTGCCCTTTGTTAGTGTGTGAGTGCTTGTTACCTTCGCTCTTCTCCAGCAGCGCTGCGATGACAGCCTCGTCCTCTATAGGGTTGAGTGAACAGGTGGAATACACCATCCTCCCTCCCACTGCCAGCTGCTCCACACCACGCACAGCGATACGCAGCTGGAGCCTGATCAACACACACATATGCTCTGTATTACTGCCAACTTCTTAAATTAGCAGCAAAAGAACACACTCCATTCCCTCGTCCTCAAGTCAATTTAGAGCAAAAAATCCTAGCAAACACACAATGTCCGAGACTTACCCGTGGAGGTGCAGGCTGTTGCTGGTGGTCCATTTCTTCCACACGTCGATGTTCTTCCTCATGGTGCCGTCGCCGCTGCAGAGCAGAAATCAGAAAGTCAAACACATCCTCAGACTCTGCCCGGGGCGCAGAAACAACTTCCCGGCAAAAAAAGTCTGCCAAGCACAAACTGCCAAAACGCCGGCCTTCAGCTGACTATTAAAATCACTGCTGACTGCTTCTCTCAGTCTTCATTACTTCTTGTCCTCCCTCCGTTGTGTTTGGCAGAGCCTCCTGGCTTCAGCGCCACAGCTGGCTTAACTCAGGAAGCATTTGCAAACAAATACAGTTCTGTTTTGGCCATAAAATTACACTGGATTTCATGAGGAAAGATTTTACAACGTACTGAGACACTAAGAACCACCATATATAAGGACCTGTGAATACCCTGCGTTTGACAGACAGGGTGAATAATGATCTCCATCTGTTACACAAAACTCTCCTCCAGCCAGACGCCCACACACACAGCAGAGTTGATCAGCCATATTTCTTCCTTTATCCACTTCCTCCTCAGACCCTAACTTTCCTGCGGTGCTGTAATACAGTGCGTGTCAGTGAAGCAGACATCATGAGGGTAAAGCCCCGTGCTGACCTGCAGGGCACGTCACAAAGGATGCGGTCGTAGAAGAGGATGTCCTTCTTGCCGTCCGAGTCGATCTTGAGGGTGGGGATGCAGGTGGCGTCGTGGTTGACCACCATGATGCAGGGGCTGTTGAGACGCTTGGCTTGGTGCACCAGCAGGTAGCAGCGCTTGTTGTCCACGTCGTTGGCAATGACAAAGCCCTCTACAAGAGTGGATGAGAGTTAACTAGTGTCAAAGTGGGACGGGCTGCTGATTTACTCCCTTATCTTCCATTGTTTTACATGTTTGTGTCTTACCTGGGAATGGCACGTCGATGTCAGAATGGAGCATCTCGATCAGCTGGGCTGTTTTCGACCCTGGAGCTGCACACATGTCCAGGATCTGCACAGAAACACAATCGTGTGACCTCGAAGATATATCAGCGGTATCAAGCCACGGGGGGCAAGCTCTGCCAGGGAGCACAACAGCAAAAAACTAAAAATAACAGTGAAAGACATTTTAACCTTCAAAGAGGGCAGTGCTTTTACCTTGTGGTGTGACTCGATCTTCAGGAGGAGAGGAGGGATCATACTGACAGCTTCCTGTCGGCTGATGTTACCCTGCAAGGACAAACACAAGAATGATGCCCATTCATTTCTCTGTGACTTCTGACATTTTCAGGGGCTTGTTTAATTCCCTATCCAGGGTAAATGTCATTCATTTTCAATAGAGCGGGACGGTGATTTCGTATTTTTGTAGGCCAACCCGTAGTTTAGCATCACAAGGGATCCCGCAAGAAAAGCCAATGCAATTTTTCTATTAGATTTTGGAATATATGTGAACATAAATCTGTGGTGAACAAATGTTTATGATGACAGTCTCCACATATAAACACCACTTTTTATCATTTTTGAAGCGTAAAAGCAAACACCAGAAGTAAATAAGTAAGGTATTGCTACAAACAAACTACTTCACCAATGCTAAGCTAAAGGCAGCTACACAACCACAGTATTTCAATTCAATAAAAAATAAAGAAAACATTGACTTCGAAACGAGGAAGTGCTAAAATACTAACTCATTTGCAGGTGATTGTGGTCCATTTTTGTTTGATTCGTCTCAACTCACCGACTCAGTCTCGCTGACCAGGAACTGGTGGAACTTCTCGAGCAGCGGAGACTTCCTGATGATCTTCCGGCTCATGTTGGTGTGCCAGGCCTGCTCATCGGGATACCTGGAGCAGAGACAGTGTGTTCTGAGTTTCTAGTTTCAATCTGCGTGGTGTTTTCGCCTCGAGCTACACCATGAGATCTTACCATTTAAGAGGCTGTGGAGCCTCAATCTTCAGGCCATCGATCTCCACCTCCTGAATATCCTTGAAGTATTTCTCCTTCAGACAGTGGAGGATTTCTTTGGCATGGCTGGGACAAGGCAGAAAGGAGGAGAAAGTGGGCATGTAGTCACAACAAGCACTTGCACCAGGCAGCAGTAATTAGACATGACAAGCACAATCAATTCATACTAATGTATTTCTTACAAGCCTGAGCTTAGATCAAGGTCATGAGAATGGCAAGGCATGTTTATATACAGCAAATTTGACAACAAGGCACTCATAACATTAAAAAGCAGCAAGACATAAGTCACAGGTGTAAAGTTGTGGGTATAACCCTACATACCAACTTTAGTAAGCCCTTATTATTGAAGATAAATAACAAGGTCTAACTTTCTCCCCTTGCTTAGACCTGTAATGAATCTTAAAAATAAGGACTTTGTATGTGGTGAAGCATGTAATGGCTATAAAATGGGAATGCAAAATAAGGTTCTTTCATCAGAGCACAATGGGCTCACAGGGAGGGGGGGGGAGGGGGGCAGGAGCTCCAACAAGCCGTTTAGGACAGAGAGTGAATACACATACTATACAGAGATGATGTATGAGAAACCAATGTGAGTTTGGAAAATTGCACAATATAGATCTATTTTAGTAGGCCTCAACAATGGAATTATGATCAGTAGAAATGGCCATGACATGGGACCTTGAAAGCATCTTGTAGGCTTTGACCATGAAACAAAACAAAGAGATCCTGGTCATTGATATGTCGGGCTCACCTCTTGTATCCAGTAATGCGGATGGTTGCAGGCAGCGGTTCCCTCATTGCATTCATGAACTCTTCAAACTCTCCCACAGGCACCAGGCCTAGCTCTTGGTAGTAATGCTCGAACAGCTTATTCTCCTTGACAATGTCTGCATAGCCAGCTCCCCAGCCCTGAAAAACAAGAATAATTTACAACTACTGTTAAGTATATGCATAACTGGAACCTGCTAATCAGAGACACTTGATGAACACGGAACTTTAAAAAAAAAAAGAAAAAAAAAAGTTCTACATTTTAAGTTGTCTTGCTTAAGGCCAAGGGTAAATAAATCGAAATATTCATATTAAGACATACCACAGTAAAGAATGATCTAATAATCAATTCGGCATGTAGTAAACCACACAGTACTCCCTGCATGTTGTTGGGACTAAAAACGATGTGGCTTGGAAAGGGTAAACCAATGCATGTAGCTCAGTAGCTGTACGCTTGGCCACATCAAATTAGCACATTTCTGAACAAAGTCTGGTGAAGCCACACAATTATCTCAAAAAAAGGGGCATGCATCTAGAGCAATCGTGCTAAATAATAGTAAAACATCGCTTCGGAAAGGTAAAGGTGAGCTAACAGTGAAGCTGTCTGGTGTTGCAGCTGTTTAGCAGTGTCGCAGCAGCACGACTGCACACGTTTTGCAAAAAAAAACATCTGAAAATTATAACATTTGTTGTACCATCGCATTTAGTCATTTAAGCACATTTGACCTGACTGAGTACTTCCAAGCAAACATTAGCAGGTTATGCAGCAGTAGAAGAGTAAGTCTTACAGCGTTGTCTCTGTTGTCTCTGTCGTCTCTGCCAGTATTTTGGGTTTTCTGCCTCTGCCTGCTTCGTTTCCCCATGTTGGAATAGCAGATAACTCTGGAGAAGAGTCTGCCAAACGACGTGTTAGCTGGATAAAGACGAGTTTTAACTGTAACTCGGATAAAATGTATACACTGAGTTTGAACGGGAACTGCTGCTACGTTGTGTATTCTCAAAACGTGTTCCTGTGACGCACGTGAATGAGGACCCCTCTAGTTGGCCACATATCTGCCTGAAATAAAGTAAAACATCTTCAGGCAGTTTTGGGCATTTAATGATTTTATATTTAGTTCTGATTACGAAATAATATGCAATATACAATTGATGTACTAAAATACTTAATTGTAATTCTTTAAGTGTTATTTTAGCTAGAGAAATATAAACTTAAATACAAGAGTACTTTTAAAACAAGTGTCCACATGCTCAAATACCATACAGGCATAGGCGTCATTTGATAACAAATTGAATAAATAAATAAATAACAAAGAATATTAATTAAAATAAATACTTAAAAATTCATATTATAATAAGGAAAAAAATACAATAATAATAATACGATTTTTTTATTGTAATATTTAAAAAGAATAAATACAAATAAAACATTACAAAAACAATAAAAGACGTAGGTGTGGGTCTGCCTCTGCCTGGGTAAAAATAATGGTAGTCATAAGCCTCCGAAGGACGCCCCATCACCTCTGAAATATTCAGTAAATACAGATCTAACTAGCAGACAATTGTATGGCTCAGTGGTTAGAGCAGGCAGACCACCATGTGGGTTCAAATCCCGAGTACGGCCATATGTTTCAAATGTATATAAATGATTTATATCGATAAAATATTAATAATATTTAAATAAATAATAAGGAAAAGCAAAAATAAGAAAATAAGAAAAAAACTAAATGGTAATAAATACATTAAAAATAATAATAACACAAAATAAAATAATACAAATACATTAAAAATTATTATAATAAAACAATTAGGAAAAAAATACAATAAATAAATAATAAAATGAAATATATACAAAAACAATAAAATAATAATTCAAAAAATAATAACAGTAGGGAGACGCCCACAGCAACTCTGGGGCACGTGAACAAAATTATATTATAATTATAAGAATTAAAATAATCAAATGATAATTAATTCAAAAAATAAAATAATAATATAATAGATAATACCATCATAAAAACTAACTTTAAAATAAATAAATAAAGATATTTAATATGAAAACTAAATAATGAAAATAAGAATTAAATACACTTGATGACAAAAAAATCCTTGATGCAAAAGCCTTTAAACATTATAGCAGGAAGGGCCCTCAGATTTTGAGATACTCCTACCCGAGGTAGAACAAATGACAACAATGATTTTTCTTATCTTTAGGGTCTCCCATTAATGAAATTGATTGTTGTGAAATTGTATTTTGGGGAAAAAAATGTTTTTTTGGTTGTTCTTTAGAACAACCCCAATCCCTGAAAAAGAGCCAAATTAGACCAGGCCGAATATGGGAAAGGTGACAAAAAAGCCCATAACTTGAGAATGACCTCTCTTTTCCTCTTCAGATTTGCTGAGGTATGAACCAGGTGGCTGTCCTACATCACCAAATAGTCAGGCAATTATTTAACTAAAAAGATACTGAATTATAGTCCTGCAAACTTAGCTTTAGTTTAAACGGAAATTGTACTTTTGGTGATAGGAACATAGGACTCATCACTTTTCTCTTATTTATCAGAAACAGAAATCCCTAAAAAATATACCATTACTGAATTGTATAGGGTGCTATTGAACACTAACCAGTAGTTGTATGGAAATATCTGGTACAGTTCTATTGCAAATTAGATTTCTTTAGACATAGGCCTACCTCTTCTCTGATACAGTCACATTCCGAATGGGGGATAAGTGGCACAATAGCCTATAAGTTAAGAATGCTTACTCTGATGGTCATCATATTTGGAGAGGGAAATACCAGGTGGCTGAACTACATCACCAAATAGTCAGAATAAGAGTAACCCAATACAATAAAGTGTATTAGTTCTAAATTGCAAGCCTCTAAAACATAGGTGTAAATAGTACAGGTTGTATTGAAACTGGAACCTTAATTGAAAGTACAGTATACAATTCATCAAATAATTCTGTGAGAGGTCAAGTATAATATAGATACTAGAATATAATGTTAAATGTCAGGTTCCTCAGAAACGTTAGGGTACACATTTTGACATTCTGCACAGCATGGTGCAGAACCCCGTACAGGGAAGGCCAACAGAGAGGCACTGGCACTTTCCACTCTCTCCACACTTTGCATCTTTGCAATACAAGTGAGTAATGTCTCTCACTTCTGTAGGTGCTGGGGTTTTGTAAATAGCACTGGTTGAATGGCCCCATCTCTGACAATCTGCCAACAGGACTCCATAACAAGGGTTTGGGTTTTAATAGATATAATCTCTCTATATGGCGCTGCTTCATACTATTGGAGTAAGTTGGCATGCTAAAAAATCACTCCTGAAGAAATCACTATTTTTGGTCAACTTTTGTAAGGTAACCATATCCTTTTTGACATTATTTTAGTGTCAGAGCACTTACTGAACATAATTAGATTAACTTGATGC